AACACACACAGAAAAAAATGAACATGCAGACAAAGTAACCCACCCCAAAGGCATGCAAGAAGCAAAAAGGCCTCTTCGGGTTGACTTCCAATCTCTCAGGAGATTTCCTGAGCTTTCAGAAGCCAACGAAATTCTGTTGGATTTTCACCAGTATTTATACCAAATGATCAAAGGGTTTCTTTTGATAATCCTATCACAGTTACCATTTACAAGTGGAAATTGCCTACTGTAAATTGTTTCCTAGAAGTTGAAATTGTAAATCCCTTCCTTACACCAAAAGTTCACACTCATTTACTGGGATGTGTTTATTGTTTCCCTGTGTTCCCACCATTTGGGGCTACACTGTCCCTTTGAAGCTATCAGAGGGCTACTTCAAAGGGGAAGGTGGGGTATGTGAAATCTTGTTGTCTCTGAGATAGCATATTGGATTAGGGTCCAGCTGCAATTGTTATTGTCTTTAAATTGTGGGTCTCATGCTCATATTGATTCAAACAAACTGTCCTTTTGGTGTTATTGCTGAGATAAAAGCGGGGTTTGTGTGAAATTCTGTATCCCAGGAATTTAGTTTGCATTTTGGATTGAAGTCTATCAGCTGCCCAAATGGCCACACATTTTATTGCCTAGGAAATTGGGGTCTGTCACTTCCCAAACTGGCTTTCCTGACCAGCTGTTTATTGTAAGTCTCACACCTGGGGCTGGGAATGGAATGTTGCGTACACTGAGAGGAACACTCTGCTTAGAGCAAAAAGGGCTTCAAAAGAATCATGGTCTGGTGTAGTGAGACAGGCTTATGGCTGTCAGCTGTTTTTCTAGCAATGACAGAGATGGGTACATGGATTTTGTAAACTATTTTGTTCATTTTAAACCCAAACCTTCCATCTTTCCAATTTCTTACCACATGGACCTCTTAGAGAATCTGACATATATTTCACCAGGCAGGTTTTTTTATTAATAAATTCTGAATATGTCCGATAGGCCATATCCATTTTGCTTTGTAGTATTTCCGCCTTGATACCTGTCACTGGTGCAAGCACTTTGCTAAGGATTTCTTTTAGATTCTCAGGTTTGTTTTCTGGAACAACCTGAAATCTCAGCATATATGAATATTTTTTTCTGGAACAACCTGAAATCTCAGCATATATGAAGATTTTTCCATTTGCAGTTGCAAAAGTTGAGTTTTGTCTGAAGATTTTTCTTTTTCCACAACTTCCAGTCTTTGATCAATTGCTTTTGTTTTGTTTGCCACTTCTTCTGCTCTTTTATTAGACTCTTTTAGCTGTTTTTGTAAAGATTCCAAGGTCTTGTTGATGTTAGTCATCTGTGCCACCAGAGGTTGCAATGCAGTATCCAGCATGCCTGGAAAGTCAAAGTTCGCTTCTGGTTTGGGGACCGGATGTGCTGAGCTGGCAGTTCCTTGTTGAATCTTTGCTTTCGCTGCCATCTTTTCATCCTGATAAGACATTGTTTATATTTCGGGGAAAGTTCGGTTAAGTCTTTAAAACTTTATTAGCTCTAATGCCTTTAACAGTCTGGCATTGTGTTAGTTGAAACCAGCAATCCGCTCAAACGCCACCACTTTCTGTCCCCTTTATAATGCTTTTAAATCTTCTTTGTCATTTTCTAGGGTTGGGTAGCCTCCCCCCCTTCTGCTTTTTCTTGGGGGCACCCGGGCTAGCATCTTACTCACTCCACTTCATCAGGTAAGAGAAAGTCTTTTTGTTTTTGCCCGGTCTGTTGCTCGCTGGTCCGGTATGCTCGTCTCATGCCCAGAATGGTACTGCAGCAGCAGGACCTATAGGGGCAGTGGGGAGCCTTGATCATTTGGCCTTGACCTTGGGAGAGGCACCCCCAGCGCCCCAGGCTGAGAGCCCTCTACAAGGGCTCCAGGGAGAGTACAGAGCCAGCCAGTCTCCCTCCCTGCCACCGGGTCATGGGCCGCTCTCTCCAGAGCTTTGGAGGAGCGCGCCTGCCATCAATGCGCCAAAACCGGAAGTCTCTCATTCTGCAATGACTTGGGTGTTCAGGGACCATTCTGCCTGGTTCAGGTCCTCCCGACTCAGCCAGTCCACATGAACGTCCAGCATGCCCTGAACATGCTGAGCCTTCAGTCCCATCAAATGCTATTCTGCACACTGGAATATGTGCACTGCTTCCTGATGAAGAGGAGCTGCCCTGATTCTCCTTGGTGGTTTACATGAGCCTTTGCTGTGATGCACAGAAGTGCGACCATGACACTATGCTATCATAGCCCAGCAGCTTCTCCTTGCAGATAGACTGCACTGGTTTACATGAGCCTTTGCTGTGATGCATAGACGTGCGACCATGACACTATGCTATCATAGATATGAGAAGGCCCAGCAGCTTCTCCTTGCAGATGGACTGCACTGCTTTCCTGATCTTCATTTGTTTTTCTGGAGGCAGGAAGACATTTGATTCATATGTATCTATCCTGGTCCCTAGATTAATGATGTCCCTGGTGGGAACCAACTGGCTTTTCTGAAGATTTATTAGAAAACCATGGTCTTGCAGGAAATGGATAGTCAAGGTTGTGTTGTCCCTGGACCTCTGTAGATCTTGTGCTCCGGTCAAAACATTGTACAAATAAGGGTACGTATGAACCCTTTTTTGCTGTGCAGCCACTATTAGGCTCACCAGCTCCAGGCCTTCATGAATGATGCTGCAATCCTGGACCCATTCCAGTCCAGCTTTTGCCCTGGCTACGGGATACAGACTGCGCTGGTTACCCTTACGAATGATCTCCAGAAACATCTGGATTGAGGTGGGTTGGTCCTGCTGTTGCTTCTTGATCTAACAGCAGCATTCAACACAGCTGACTACAATCTCTTGACCCACCAACTTGCTGACACTGGGATATGGGGGACTGCTTTACAATTGCTTTTCTCCTTCCTTTATGGTCAGACAGAGGGTGGCACTTGGGGGGGGGACCGTCCCAGTGACACCCGCTAGAATGTGGGGTGCTACAGGAGGTTGTTTAACATCTATATGGGCTGGGTTGTCATCAGTATGCTAATGACACCTAGCTCTATCTGTGGATGGATGGATGGCCAGACTCTGCCCCAGAGGTATTGGACAGGGCATTACAGGCTGTGACTGGCTGGCTTCAACAGAGCCAATTGAAATTAAATCCAGCAAAGATCCTGTACCTGAGTCATGGGGATCTAGGATCGGGAATCCAGTTCCCAGCCCTCAGCAGAATGCCACTGAAGTTGGCACTGAGGGTGAAGAGCTTGGGGGTGCTCCTGGATGCCTCCCTTTCAAGGGAGGCCCAGGTTGCCACTGTTGCTCGATTGGCCTTTTATCATCTGCGGCTGGTCAAGAGCTGGTCCTGTATCTCACATCCCAGGACTTAGCTACAGTGATCCACGTGATGGTCACTTCCAGACTAGATTACTGCAACTCACTTTATGTGGGGCTGCCCTTGAACCTGACCCAGAAACATGAGTTAGTGTGGAATGTGGCAGCACGTGTGCTGATGGTGATGCCTGTGCAGGCTCATGTCCAGCTAGTGCTGTGCCACTGCACTGGCTACCAACCTTGGTTTCTGTAAAGCAAAACCACTGGGATAGAAGTAGTAAGAGTGGACTGGGAGGCCAAAACAGCCTTGGGAAAGCCCCCCTTCCCCACTGTCATGTCCCCTGATGGAAGAGGAATTGCTGGAAACAGACCCAGTGGCAACTAGCAAAAACTCACTATCCATGTAACTTGGCTTGGCAGCAGCCACTGCACAACCCATCCCATTCCAGCCTGGCCAGACTTTTCCAAGGGAGAGGCAGGGAAGGTGGAAAGGCTGAAAACACTGGGCCTGGTGGCAGCCACCACACCACTGGGCCAGACTTTTTCAGGGAGATGTTATTGTGGGAGGGAAGGGGGAATGCTGAAGACAGGGAACAGATTAGGTTGGCTGATGGGAGGAAAGGAGAAAAAGGAGAGGCTATGCGGGCTGTCAGGGAAGAGAAGAAGGAAACAGTGGGGATGCAGGGGGAAATGAGGGGTCTCCCAGCTTTCTAGTCTAAGTTGAGCATAGACGCTATACCTCATTCCCTGAAAAACCAATAAAAATTTTATGATGGTTACGAAGTACTTCCCCTCTCATTTTCTCCCTCTTTTTTTCTTTTGACAGATTAGCCATGTTTCTTTGGTGGATTAGTCTAGCACAACAGGCAACTGAAACCCTATTGATTAAATTAGAAACTACTGCTGTGTTTTGGAACATACCACTCATCAGTTTGAGGCAGAAGCAGTACCACCATACATAATCACTTCTGAATAACCTTTGCTGAAATAATTTATGACATTGTCTACCCTCACATACCATATACCACTACTCTTCAGTTTAATTGTTCAAGTCATAAATTTGCCTTTCAACACTGAATTAGAAATGTGCTTCAATGTGCAGCATTATCCAAAATAGTATACTTATTCATATTTAATGTTTCTAGGAAAATATTTATTTAACACACAGTTTGCTGTTTTCTAGATGAAGCTTCTTTTAAATAAATTTTTTGAAGCACGATACGTGCATTTAATATTTAATGGTACATATAATGAAAATTGGGGAATGCAGTATAATTTTTAAAAAGTGAAAAACATTTTCATTATTATTCCTCATATTCCTTAATTTAAAACAAATACATTTCATTTGGAGTTCAAAAACATAATATGGGACAATGATTTATTCACTACTTATTTAAGTAGTTGTGAATTTCGATGTAAAATGACCAGTTGTATACAGCTGGGAAAACCATCACTTTACTCATCATTTAATCTGCACAGTGTTGCAAAATGTATCAAAATGTAACCGTACGTTCTTCAGAAAGGTTATCCTGTCATGTGATGTTCTGTTCTTCAGTATTCAGTTTAATCAGAAGTAAAGAGTACCACTAAAATAGCTGTTTTTAACTTTTAATTTAATCATCTCTATGTCTTCATCTTGAATGATAAGTATTATAAAGACATTGAAAAATAGGAAAAATAACAATTTACAATTTGAAAGCTCCTCTTAGCTTTGCTGAGCGCCCTCTTGGATTTTCATCATTATCCTTAGCCTGGGGAGTAAGGACTTTTTTTCTTATAGCAGTCCATCTTGACTTAACATCATCTGTGGGCAAGTCATTACTCACCTCTTTTTCAAAAGAATTCTTTCCCATTTGCCTTATCTTCTGCCTTACATTGAGGTTAAATTTTTCTGAATTATCTATTCCATAAAGAAATCGCTTGATGATACGATCCTCTAAAGAATGGAAGGAAAGTGCTACAAGTCGACCTCCAGGTTTAAGAAACTTCTCAGCTACCTTTAATCCTGCAAGGAGCTCATGCAGTTCATTGTTCACAAATATGCGCAATGCTTGGAAAGTTTTGGTAGCAACATGTGTTGGTCTTTGAAGTAAGTCTTTTCGAGCATATAAAGCTGCTTCAGAGAAAGCACCTGTTTTGAAAAAGATAAAGAAGAAAAGATGTACTTCCATTATTCAATAAAATATGTGAAGAACCTAAATTTTTTGTGAAGAACCTAATGACTGCTGATATTTAATTTTTAACATTTTAGAATGCTAATAGTCAGACAGTGGTGATAATAAACTTAAACCCAACCAGATACCTTTAACCACTGACAAAATTTCTTCCATATCTCCATCATTTCTCACAAACACTGGCATTTGAAACCTAGCTAGAACTGTGAAGAAATGAACTGCTTTTACGTTTTTCTTTGCATAGATCATGATTAGTCACTGTATCAAAATGTATTTATTTATTTAGAAAATTCATAGCTGTATTTCCCAAGACCTGCTCGAGGTGGTTAATTTATTTATTCTAACAGTCAATGTTAGTAAATAACCATTGCCATTGCCTCAGGTCCCAGTTGAAGGCAGGTTCATAAACATTGTAAATACATTAGTAAACAGTGGAATGGTACAGATCTGATTTATCCTAGTTTTGGGAAAGGTATCAGAAGCCTAAGAATGTTCAAAGCTTGATTTTATAGCCACCTTTTTACAAATCCCCCCTGCCAAAGAATATAGACTATTGACTCTTTTCTTAATTCCTTTGGGGGAGGGGCATGATTTCAGTGTGCCACCATTTTGACTTTCATTGACTTCAAGAATCAGATTTCAGATTGTGTTTAGGGATAAGCAGGACTATAATAAGTGATTGCACACTGTTTTGAAACACTTCAAATAAACTGGATTTGCATTGAATGAGAAATACAAATGTGGTAAAGAAACTATATATTTTGTTGGACATATCGTTAGCACACAGGGTATCCAACCAGATTCTGTACGCTTACTTTTGACATTATCTGAATCTCAAGATGTGTCTGGCGTAAGGCAATTTCTAAGAATGGCAAATGATTTTAGAACATTTTTACCAAATTCAGTCCAAGTAAATTTAAACCTTAGAAACTTTGTGACTATTCCTCCATGGAAACATTGTAAGGACAGGGAGCCATACACAATGAGGCATCTTCTGTGTATTAAAAAAAATTGCTGAAATCTTCAACGCTGGGGGTTTAGTACCTACCCAACAACAGTAGCAGCTAATGCCTTTGTATATGGAACAGTGATTACACAGACAGGAGGTGAGATGCATATGGTTGCATCTAAGATGCTATTATTGCAGAGCTCAGGACATGATGCTCTTCTCTGTCATTTTACTGAGGTGCACCAATTCCTGAAAACTCTTATTTTTATTTGTCCCTTATTTCCTCTGTCTGTTCTAAAACTCTGCTTCTTGAAGTAGTAGTTGGCTGGGACAGCTGCTTGCAAACAGATCAGCAGTGAAAAGGCAGAACCCTGAGGGTTGCATGTTCTACTGGTCAGTAAAGCCATATAATTCACATATCACCCAAATGTGAAGATTGGTCTGTGTCTACATTCATTACCAGCATAATCCTAAAGAGATTTACATCCTTCTCATTCACTGGGTTTAGAAGGATGTTAACTCTTTTTCAGGTTGTACTAACATTTACTATAACAAGTCCAGACTTTGTTTTTCAACTTCTTAGTTTTTAAAAACATTTTTAATTTCAAAGCCATAGTTTACAGTACCATGCATACTTTATGTACTCATAAACAAAAATTACTTGCCATTGGGGGCAGGCTTTCTGAATCTATTTACCAAAACTCAAACATATATGTTAAGAGACATATGGAATAAGTTCGTGGCATTCAACTTCCATTTGTGTGAAGGCAAGGGGAGGCACATTAAGAATAATTTGATCATGTAACTTCCACACACACCCCAGATATACTCCATAAGTGCACCCTAGTAAATACGCATTTTTGTATCCCCCCACACGTCAAGAAATCAACTTTTGTTATTTTCCCTAAGAAATTTGTCAAGATTATATGCTGAAGACATACGTCACACTCACCATCTCAGCTATTACAGGGGAAGACACTGTGCTCAAAATGCAAAGCTCCATAAACAGCAGTGTTTTGCATGAAAGATCTGGGCCAATGCCAAAAGAGATTCACTGTTTCAGCTTTTGACAGTTCTATTCATAATGTTAGAAGTATCTTCCCACATACATGCAGGTGACTGACCTTGTCAAAGCTGACATATCAGTGCAGAAAACTGACCCAAACACAAAACCATACACACTGGAAGGAAGGATCCTTTTAAGTGTGTCTGCAAGAAGATGAGCAAGTGGAAACAATTGCCTTTGCTGGACCAAACAAAGGATTAAAATGTCAATCCCTCAAGTGAACAGAACTGTTTTTTAGTTCTTGGCTCTCCATTTCATTTCAAAAGATACATAGAGAGATACTAAATAGACTTGGCTCTTATCATATATTTATTCATTCATAAATCATGTTTAGATGTTTAAGTTATTATTTAATATAAATATGAATATTAAGTACTGTATAGAAGAAACCACAATCAATTTAAAAGTAAATATATTTTCTGTTAGCATAGAAAATGTCTCAGATGCTACAGCTACATTTGGTCTTCTATTAACATCTGCTTCCCAATACAGTTCCATACCCAAACTAGGTATTGGTATTATTTCTGACTAAATTGGCAAGTATGATAACATTTCCCAAACCGGTTAATCATCATTGTAGAATGTTTACTATCCATGTGCTACATTAACTGAAAACTCGAGTGTGCTGAGAATACTACAATTCAAATTACTCCATTGTAGAATTCTACTATCTTCTTAATACTAAAAAACCCTCTTCCATTGGAAAGTGACATTGCGTCCACTTTCTGCTCACTGTCATTGATATCTGTGACACCCCGGGGTCACTGCCAACACTACTTGTACAATGTGAGGATTGATGCCCTCAGCCAAGGGGACCCCCTTTTTCTCTCCCTCCTGTACCTATGAATGCCAGAGTGTGAGCCCTAGAAAGACAGCTGAAGTCTGAGTTAAACTGATATCAAAAAGTAGTGAGTCATGCCAAAGAAAAAAGGAATACAGGTCCACTCCTTCCTTCCTTCCTTCCTTCCTTCCTTCCTTCCTTCCTTCCTTCCTTCCTTCCTTCCTTCCTTCCTTCCATTTCTACCCCGCCCTCCCTGCAAAGTAGGCTCAGGGCAGGTTCCAACCAATAATAATCTGCTGAGTGCAGATTTACATCATAAAAACAGAATAACAAAGTAAATACAATAAACAGAGGTCATTTCGGGGGGGGAACGCGTGGGAACACAGTTCCCCCGGGTGAGGTGCAGGGGGGCGGGGCACATGATGAAGCCCCGCCCCCTGCTTCCGGCCACCCCGCTTCCGGCCCTCATTCAGCCAGGAGGAGGCAGGAGAAGAGGGAGGGTAAGTTGCTTCCTCCCCGCCTCTCCCCACCCCTGCCTGCCTGAGGCCAGGGAGGGCCTTCGCGGGGATTCCTCACACTCCCGCTGGCCTTGCAGGTCCACCGCAGGGCCCCTGATGTCAGGGTGTGTGGCATATGCTAATGAGTTATGCTAATGAGTTCCCCTAGCTCTTTTTCTACGAAATGACCCCTGACAATAAATACAATAAGATAAGTAAAACACTAATACTTTAAAATAAATTATACCTCAGAAGACACATAAGAGCAACTCATAGGGGGGAGGAGGGGGGAGGCCAGTTTGAATTGGATACCTGCTGCCTCAAATGAAAGCCTGGCGGGCTATCAGTCATATGCATAAAATCATCCTATGTGAGATTTCATCAAGGGCCATTTCCCCAAGGACCTTGGTTATGATCAGCTAATCTGATCATAACCAACAACACAGATTTACAAAACAATAAGCAATGGGCCAATCACAACTATTTCTTTCATATCTAAATGACTAGACAGGAAGGTTCTAGCCCTTCCCTAATCATGGCAATTACCTGAACCACAGATGCAAACTTATCTGACTTCCAGAGCTCCACAAAGGAACATTTTGGACACTCCAAGAGTAAAAAGGAAACTCCCCTCCACTACAAAGGTTTCACTTAGTTGCACCTCCCCAAAAAACCTGCATTTTTATCCTTACATTCCAATGCCAAGAAACCCCTTCCCCTCCTCTTCCTTGGCAAAAGGGCATAAAGAGTCGCCCTTCAGCCACAACTTTTTGTAGCCAGCTTGGAAACTCCCTGTTACCCCACCTAACTGGTGGTTCCTCCTTTTTTCTAGTCCCTGAACCTCTGCTCCATTGACCTGGCACTAAAACATCTGCCTTCTTCTGTTCAGTTTCAACTCCCAACATTGGTCCTTTGTCATTACAGACAACACTCCCCCTTCCCCCAAATCAGGCTCATATGTCTTATTTTCTCTTAAAGGTTTATTTTATCTAGGTAGGCAGCCATCCCAGGGAAAGGTTTTGTGTGATTATTGTTCCACCATACTGCATTTCTATTCTGGAGCTTTCATTCATTACTGCTTTCCATATTGCATCAATTACTCTATGCTCTTCTGTTAGTAAAATGAAAACACTCTTACTCTTTCTTGAAGATTCTTCCCCCACCCTCATTTCTCCAAGTGTTGATTGCTCCTCTGTATACATAGGCAATGAGGTTCCAAGTGCACGAAAGACACATGTTTGGGTCTTAATGTTGTATATGCCATTAAAGGTTTATTGATTGATTGATTGGGTCTGTGTGGGCAGGGGACACCTCTGCATGTTACTACCATGGCACCTGTACACCAATCTGGGTAACAGGCTGCTAAAAATCACTTCCATACAGCTGAAGCTCTATGCAGCTGAAAAAAACCTTTGAACATGCTTCTTATGTAGTTTGCTTACATCACATATTAAGCATCTACACCAGCACTGCTTATTTTTAGGACTAGTATTTAAAAGACATGTAGCTGGCCCTTTTGGGAACCATAACTGAATGTTACTGCACCTGTGAGGAGCCCCAAACACACACATAAGTGATTTTCAGTTTATCATGGCAGTGATGTAGTGTTTGAATGGGTGGAGTGAAGCAAGCATGAAATGTAGTTCCAACACATTGTTATATAT